GCAATAGTCTGACTATTGCAGCACATGTAAACAGATGTGACATCAAATCATAATAACTTGATCATATTTTAACCATGTCAAGTAGATCATAATCGTGCATGACAGTTCTTGGCCTCGGAATAAGCTCTGAAGTCTAGCGAGATATCTATATGACTTATTGCATTCCTTATATGACAGATTATCAACGTTTCTCATGTGTGTGATCTTTAATCTACCATCTTACCTCACAGTTGATCAGACGATGCTACGCTGCAGGTCTAAAGTCTGACCGTATAAGATCACATTTGCCATTTTAATCGAAACATTTATTATCAGCCCTGGTAAAGTGTGTTAACGCTAGTTAGCGGCGCTAACATGGGCAATGCCAGCCATGTCTGCAGATGAAAGCCATGATTCAAAGAGCCCGAGCACGTATCGTACACACCATATCATTCCCTTTCAAGTGCCTCCCTCGTTTTTAATCTGTCACTCGCTTTTGGTTTGAAAAAATCCACACTTTGAAGTCTACGTGCAAGAAGGCCGAAGCTAACAGCCGTATATCCGGATGCTTCTGACACGACTTCATCTCGGTCTCTTGATCAGGATGCGTCAGTCGTATCGCTCGCTGGTGACTCAATGATTTCCAGTGACCAGTTTTGAGGAAAGTTACTGTTAAAAGTAATGCATTGCAATATTGCATTAAATATTGGAATATTCCCCCAAAAAACAACTAATAAAACTAACTTTACACCGTGCACACAACACATCCTCACTTTATTTCTCTCAACATGGCGACAGGAGAGCTGTCGGTCAATACATTTTTGAACTATTTGAAAAAGTAACTTTGTTGTAAATTGAAAGAGTAGTGCGTTACTTTACTAGTTACTTGAGAAAGTAATCTGATTACGTAACTCGGGTTACTTGTAATGAGTTACACACAACACGGCCTGTGACACAATTAGAAGGATCCAAAGGAATTCAATATGGGTCATGAAGATGATAATGTGTGATATTGTACTATAGCGAGATTTGTAGCCTGCGGCATAAAGTCTGTTTAAAGTTTTTGACATTACCAAAAAATCTTTTTATGGGTCGAAAATGACCCGAATAACTTTCTTTTAATAAGTCTTGTAGTGACATTTCTTCTCTGATGATGAGGGCGGGGCAACCTGTCAGTCAAATGAGATCCACCAATAGCAAACCACGGATATCTATCATCCAATCAATTCCCCAAAGACAAACTCAAGCCCCGCCCACATTTGTTTTTTGCTAATATGTCACAATAGGGGAAAAAAAAGTTTAATTCTGATAAAATACAAACATATTAGTGCAAGTTTTGGGGAGTATTTTTACATTTATGAAAAGTTTTTATAATGTAAAATAAGCACATTCTTTGCATTCTTGCACTGTGAGCATAAATGACTTTATGCATAAACCAATATGTGGTCATATCATAACCGATAATGAAAGTGTTTTTCAGTAGAGGCAAATGAACAAGCATAACAATACGCATATCAAAAGTCATCGGAAAAGCCAGACATGAGAACATGACCTGACGCATTGTGTGATTAATCATTATAAAAATAAATCCAGTAATTTGTGGCTGAGTAATTAGTAACATTTGGAAAGTATGAGAGCTAAAAAAAAATATTTAAAAAAGCCCTGATATTATTACGACATTTACGATTACGTGAGTGCACAATACAAAATGTCCCTGCAATTTAAAGGGTAAAAAGCACTGAACTGGTTTCTAGTGATTCATCGCTAAAAACAGGCTTATTCCATTAATGCATGTGAAACCGAAAGTGTGAAAAGAGACATAACGCCCACACTTAATTTACATAGAGCTGTAGATGTCATCTCACACACACACACACAAACACACCTGGCAACTCACAAGTAAGAGTCATGTGACATACAGAAAACAGTTCATGATTAAATCTGATGCACTTTTCTAAAAAGTGCAAGTTTGTAAAACTTTCCTGGAGGTTTTTGATGCCGCTTGCAACGAGAAGGTCATGGGTTCGATTCCCAGGGAAAGCAAAAACTGATAAGAATGTAAAATGTGCACCTTGAAATGCAATGCAAGTCACTTTGGATAAAAGCATCTGCCAAATGCATAAATGTAAATGCAAATATATGTTTGTGTGTGTAAATGCATATAAATGTGTGTGTAAATGCAAATTTATGTTTGTGTAAATGCATATGTACACACACACACATTATATATTTACAAACTTTTTTTGTTAATTTAATTAATTAATTTGACACCACTAGGCTTTGAATCCAAATCCGATTTTTGTGCATATCCGATTGAAATCCGATCAGATTTAGCAAGTGTGAACGGACAATTGAATTACAGTGTGAACATCAATATTTAAGATCAGATTCCAATCGGATGCACAAATAACGTTTGTTAATCGGGTTTTGACTGACAGTCTGAACGTAGCCTAATATAAAACGCACGAGTCTTTACTATCGCGAATAAATCTGAGTGGATTCATTTTAAATAGCATATTTAATGGTTAAACAGCTAACCACCGAAATCTTGGCCTATTTCAGTCTGCCTCAATTCTAATATTCAAATGTGAGTTTTTCAGAGGGTATGTCATGCTGTATGTGCAAATGACTGGGGATTTTGACAGGAAACCACATCTCTTCTCATGTCAATGACAGCATGCTTTTCATGAGCTACAGCGACATGAGAACATTTAATACGCTAGATCTGTTTTTATTCCCTTACGTTTTTATATTTCCCAGATAAGCTCATTTTAACGCATGCGTCACTATTAGTATATATTTAAATGTATCCTTTTGAGGAAAGATGTGCTGTTAAAAAGTATCCAGATTTGGAATGTTTGCTTGGAACATTCTAACTGATCCTTGAAAAATGTATCAGTCGAGTTTAGTTCCGTGTTCTGTTTTGCTTGCATTTAACCAATTACCAGACTAGACTAGACCCGCCTTTTCTACTTCATCATGTTTTTTTCATATTTTTTTTTTATTTTTTATAACTGTTGCACATGTGGCACATCTGGCGCTCTGCCTGAATCATTACTTACTTTTTTTTTATGTTGGGCTGGCCGTCGCCATGGAAACTGCTGCATGTTTGGCAGCGAGCCCTTTGAAGGAGCGCGAGAGGATTGCGAGCTCTCAGGAATTGGCCTACACCCAGTGTAATCATGGCGGGGAACTGAAATGAGGCTTTTGGCAGCGCACCAGGTTTCAGAGAACAAAGATGTGAGCCACTAATGTTGGCTGCAGAGCCGGCTTGGCATCCTTTACCATTTCCCAGCAGCCCCTGCCAATCCTCCCGCCCCCCTCCACCCCTGCTGGGACTGCAAAGAGGATCTGAATAAAGAAAGAGACTTGTTTTTCTCCCAGATCCTCTGCTCCAATGACATCACCTCTGCAGCCTCCAGCCCCCAGATTCCAGACGCCGAGCACATTTTTTCTGCTCCTCTCTCAGGCCCTCCATTTTGACTAAATTCCTCCATTTTATAATTGCTCTTCTACCTCCCCGATGTCACGAAATGTTTGCCGTTTGCACCGACACACTGAGAGCGCTCTGGTGTTTTTTAGTCAGTATAACGTACATAGTTCATTACAACCAGATGAGTGGATGCCTTGCTGTTTTGAAAATGTGCAGAATTTAGTCATCGATTAGTATTTAATTAGTAATTTATCAAAGCAAATCAGTTTCAAGTTTGAAGTATCTGTGTGTATATGTATGTATATATATATATATATATATGTATATACACACACACACACACACACACGTATATATATATATATATATATATACACATATATACATATATATACTCTATATATTAGTGTGCTTTGATCTAACATAAGTTTGTAAATGTACTGTATGTATATATACTGTATGTATGTGTGTGTCTCTATATATATATATATATATATACATGCATAAAACACATATACACACTTTTATCCGATTAATCGTCGATTCGACAGCTCATATATATATATATATATATATATATATATATATATATAGGCAGGAGCATATATATATATATATATATATATATATATATATATATATATATATATATATATATATATATATATATATATATATAAAAGGCGGGTCTAGTCTAGTCTGGTAAAATATATATATATATATATATATATATATATATATATATATTAGTATATTAGTGATCTAACATAGTTTCTAAATGTACTGTATATGTATATATACTGTATGTATGTCTCTCTCTCTCTCTCTCTCTCTCTCTATATATATATATATATATATATATGAAGAGTTCAGATGCAAAAGCCTCTAAATGCCATTTGAAATTTTCTTCTTTAATGATGATTTTTATCAAACTTGTATATTTCAGTTCAGTAATTTCACTTAAATAACAATTAATAGGTAATTATCAATGCCATTTAAGTGAAATCACTGAACTTAAATATACAAGCTTGATAAAAATGACCATTCTAGAAGAAAATTTCAAATGGCACTTAGAGGCTTTTGCATCTGAACTCTTCATATATATTCACTTAAAGCATCTGCTAAATGCATGCAGTACAATGCACACCACAGTAGTGGTCTAGTACGCAAATAAACCGGGCTATTTCTGTCTGTGTTGTATATAGCCTACATATGTTCTCCCCTTAGTGAACTCAATGCTGAATGAATGTCATATTTAAGCGTGTGCAATAATAAACACTTTATGTACAGCATGCACGGACTGCGGATGGCTTGGCAATCGCTAAACTGAGACTCGCAATAAAAACATTCTCGGCTGAATTTTGTGAGCTGGAGGGAAAAAATAGCAACACAGTAAACAGGATGTTGCTTGTCAGTGGGGCTATCCTGGTGAGCGCAGGGGTTGCCATGGTTACCATTTCCTGAGAAATGTACAGCCAATCACACGAAGGAACAGAGATTTTACAGACCGCCTGCTCTAGGAAACACAGGGTAGAATGACATTGTGTCAGTGGGTTTGCTTGACACACTTCAGTGAACCCAAAAGCACAGCACATGTTTTAGCACGCACTCGTTTTATAGTGGCTTAGGAGGAGGCTGGTGTTGTTTTATGCCGTCTGCGTCTCTGTAAATGTGTCTGGCTCGATTTCCCAGACCTTAAAATGAACACAAGCATGCTTCGGTCATTTTATATAATAGCTTGTGATATTTGCATTTGCTTATGTAACAATATCAATATTTTATTTGTGTTTTCATGTACATCTGTAGCAGATGAGTTATATAACTGAGAAATTGCAGCCACTTCATGAAAGAGAGAACGATGAAAAGCACATGAGAGGTAAACGCACGACACTGATGACTAAAGCCTCAGCTATCTTAAAACACAAACAAACCACTGATATGATTTGGTATCTGTGTCAAATCTGACTTATAAAACTCACTTGGATCACATTATTGTTATCTTTTAGCCTCGCGAGGTTACGTTCTCTTCCTGACGTGTTGTTTTAATGAGGCATTGCTTAAGAAGTGCTGAGTCATGATCGTGTAGATCAGTGTTTCTCAACTGGTTTTTTGCTTCAGGACGTGGAATTTTACTTTGACATCATGTGGTGAGCAAAACTGCAACTCATGCAAATGTGAACCAAACACTGAAATGTATTAATATTACCTGGATTATGATGAAATCAAAAAGTCGGATTGAATAAGAGCCCAAATAAAAAAAGTTTATTAGTTTTAAATGGTGTGGTTGTGGTAACCCAAAACAGCAACAAAATTGAAAATCATATTAATAATTCACCTCACAAAACACATTGTGGTCGACACAAATCCTATTTATCCATATTTGAAAAGTTTGTCAGTATATTTTCCTTTCCCAACTATGCATGATTTTATTATTTCCATTCAGCTTTGTTTTTTTTTTGTTTGTTTTTTGATCCGTGTCCCATTTTTCAGTCACGACTCACTGATATAGAAAACAAAGTGACCTTGAGTGACACGTTCATCATGTGAAATCTGATCGCCCTGCTCAGAATGCAAAGGTTAGTGCGGGAAGAATTAGTTGTCAGGCCGGAAAGAAAATCCGATATTTACAGTTTCTCGGGTACAAAAACACGCCCTAATGCTGCAATTCCTTTAGGAGGGTTGATCATACGCCCTGGCTGCAGGCCAACAGATTCGATGTTCGTTGAGAAGGGCGAGGCGAGCTGTGGGTACGTGACTAAACATCTTACTTCCTCTTTCCAACGTCACGAGGGCTTGCACAAACACATCCGGCCTTGTGTCTGCAGATTTCAGACGCATTGCTTCACCCAAAGAGCCCTGAAGCTGCACTCATTTGGAACGAGTCCAAAACAAAAGGGAAGGACCTGCAAAAGCTATTTGTTAGTTCTTCTCACACTGTGGACATTATGTACCCAGTGACCAGACACCATCACAATGTGTGCAACCATTAAAACTAGAGGGGGAAAAAAGTGGGATTTGAGGTCAAGTTTGTTGTGTGTATAAATGAAAGTTTAAATCCGTCATTTCATGAGCATGACAAATATGACTAAGATTGGTGAAATATTGTGAGTCGATTTTGACTTGATTACACAACTGAAGGCTGTAGGAAAGTGTCACGGATTAGAAGTGGAATGTAAGGGATCAAGGCCAGACATATTTTATTGCTATTTTAATGCATTTTGACTTTATGAACTCACATTGTAATAATAGTAATTTAAATAACAATAAGAGACTTGGTGTCAATAATTATAAATCTAAAATATCATTAAATTTAACATAACATTTAATTAAGTTTATTTATGAATTAAATAAAACAATCCTCAACAATGGCTTGTTTTAAATACATGTATTTTAGGCAATGTATAAACATTTTAGAAATAAATAAATAACCACACCTTTTCCTTGTTTTTTTCCCAGTCATGCGAGATTTAATGTCTATTTTACAGAGCAGTTTCTAGCAGATAACAACAACAACAAAAAGCATATCCGCTACACACGACTTAGTTTCCACATTCGCGTGCCCGTAAATCACAATTCCCTCATATTTCCATTGATCGTGGGAACCAAATACACTTGGAAAAAACAATGTAACCGGTGACAGACAGCTCACAAGAATTTGTCTGATTTGCATATACCGTCCTCAGCGAGTGTAAACACAAATTTCGACTTCGAATCGTTTTCAACGCGTCGATGATATCGCCTATTTATTTCCTACTTGTCGTCGTCGCAGATCTGGCCTCGATTCAAGTATAGTTTAATAAAAGGATTCAAGGAGAAGAAAGAAAGAAAGAAAGAAAGGGCGGGAGGGAGTGCGCGAGAGAGCGCCGTCAGCGCGCATGCGCCGGAGGGTTTGTTCTATCGAAGAATCAAGTAAATAGAAGTGGAGAGTCAGAGCAGGGCGGTGACGTCACTGCTCCACATTGAGCTCGAGCCTGGCCGCGGTAGTAGTGAGCGAGATAGATCGCGCGCACGTCGTAGTAAAGCGCACGGCTACTATGAAGTTCTGTTTGTAACTTAATTATTACTTTGTGTGAGCGCGAGAGGAGCTTATTTTTTTCCCCCTCACATCATCATCCGCAGACGTTTGAAAGAGGATTGTGCTCGATTTTCGGAGGGTTTTTTTTCCACCTGAAAGAGCGATGTCGTCCGCGGCGGTTGCTGCTTCGAGGAGGCAGTCGTGTTATTTATGTGACTTGCCCCGCATGCCGTGGGCTATGATCTGGGATTTTACCGAACCCGTTTGCAGAGGATGTGTGAACTACGAAGGAGCAGACAGGATCGAGTTTGTAATTGAAACCGCTCGGCAGCTCAAAAGAGCTCATGGATTTCAGGACGGCAGACCGGCGGGACCGGGAAAACAGTTGTCGGGGAAAGACATCCAGGCGTTGAATCACACGCCCGGGGACCCAGGTTCGCGTCCGCCGCAACCCCTAGACCGTTACCCGCTCTCCTCCGAGCGTCCACCGAGGCTAGGATCCGAATATCAGTCTGCACGGCACGCCAATGGCATCCCGGTGCCGAACGGATTCTCAAAACCGGACGATCCACCGGAGCTCAACCGCCAGAGTCCGAACCCGCGGAGGACTAGCGGCGTGCCGCCCAATCTAGTGCCTTTGGTGAACGGCAGCATGGCGCACGCGATTAACGGGAGACCCGGACAACTCTCGGGTCTCAGCCCCGCGGACCTCGGTGGGAATAAACGCCCAGCCTCGGTCTCCAGCACGGAGCACGACAAGGACAAACACCAGCACCGACCGGACAGCATGACGCCGGACATCAGCGACAACCACAAGACCCGGGCGGACGACTGGATCAACAAGAACAAAACCAATCTAATGGCGCTCAACCCGTACGACAACAGATTTAAGAAGGAGCACATGCAGCAGAGAGTCATGTACGACAATAATGCTCCTGCATCCAAATCAGGTAGGACTTTTTTTCTCTCTGTATTTCCAGTCTTTTTGTAGAGTGAAATGTGTGTATAAATGTGTAATAAACATATACAAATATATACATTTTGACTATTGATATATTTAGATGTATTCAAGAAATGCCATATTTTCAATCTTGTATAGAATGTGTGTGTGTCAATATGCTGTGTTGTTTCAACAGTCAAAAGTCACAAACCTAACCGTTGGGTTTAAAATTGAATCACCAACGGTTGACATACTCAACCGTTGGGTTTAAAAATTGAATTAAACCAACAGTTAGGAATGTCAACCGTTGGTTTTCGTTTTTTATTTGAATTTTAAACCCAACGGTTAGGTTTGTTCATATTTGACAGTTGAAACCCAGCATTTTTTTTTGTATTGTGTGTGTGTGTGTGTGATATCTAGATGCATACAGTAGAATGCCACTTTAGTCTCTTAAATGGCCTGCTTTGAATGAGAGCACTATGGCATGAGTCAGCTGCAAGAAAATTTCCGCTGATCAAAGCTCAACGTGTATTTGCATGTGGTGCATTTGCAGTCAAGCCTCATTGTTATGTCTGGCACTACAATGCATCACCGCGTCGTTGCATAAAGCCGCTTTGTGCTAGTATAGTGCAGCCCATTCATGCACACTCATGCTTTTTTGCAGATAGAGGCAAACATCCCAAGAATCTGAAGAGAAAAGCCTCTCCGGAGCCGGATGGGGAGGGCAGCGGCGGGAAGATTAACGGAGAAGGACAGTGGCTCCCGGCGCCGGCGGACGGTGGACTGAAGATGCCGCCGGTGCAGACGCCTAGCTTCGCCTCCCCGCCGTCCACGATATCCCCACACCCCCGCACGACCCCGCCAGAGCCCGCTTCGGCCGCCTCCGCCGCCTCTCAGAACGGACATTCTCCGATGGCGGCGCTCATAATGGCGGCAGACAACGCCGGCGGAAACAGCTCGCCTAAAGACGCCAACCAAGTCCACTCGACGACGCGCAGAAACAGCAGTAGCCCACTCTCGCCCAACCAACGGCGGCTGGCGCAGGGTTCGGGAACGCCTCACGTGCCGGAATGGATCCGGTCCATCCTCAGAGCATCCCGGACTCGTCGGTTCCCAACAGCATCCCGCTGTGCTGCACGCTTTGCCACGAGAGGCTGGAGGACACACACTTTGTGCAGTGCCCTTCGGTGCCGTCACACAAGTTCTGCTTCCCGTGTTCCCGGGAAAGCATCAAACAGCAGGGCGCCACCGGAGAAGTGTACTGTCCGAGCGGAGAGAAATGCCCTCTGGTGGGATCCAACGTACCCTGGGCTTTCATGCAAGGTGAAATAGCCACCATTCTCGCTGGAGACGTCAAAGTAAAAAAGGAGAGGGACCCTTGATTTCCTTTTTTTTTTTTTTCCCCCCGTTTGTTTTTCCTTCCCTTTTTTTGAAAATATTCAAAAATATTGGTCTATATAAATATATAAATATGAATACCACATGCATACATCCAGACAGAAACTAATGGACTTGTACATAATGGACATAAGGGACATGCATACTTCGTAAACATTGCTGTACATTTTTTGATTTTTTGAATACATTGTGTTTCTATATTTTTTGAAGATAAAAGGTATGTACTCATTATTATAACGGACTACGTTCTTCTTTGTCGATGTTTAACGATTTCTTGATGTACTTTTAGGTATGGTGGCAGTTCCTGTTAAACGTAGAATGTGACTAATGCAACTCTACGAGCACTTGGCAAACATTGGAAAACGCTTCTAGCTGTACTTGTATGCACTTGTTTAAAATTGCCAAATACATTTTCTGATCTTGTATTAACGGAGAGTCTCTGCTTGCTTCTTCTGAGGATCTGAGCGTTTGAGCTCTCTGATTCGACGAGGGTAACGTTATGAAGGGCAGACGTCCTCTCGGATGCGTTGATCAGTTATTCATTTTGACCAGGTCGCACTTTACGTTCCAGTGCGTTTAGTGAGCCAAGTACTAAAAATCAGAATGCAGCTGCCTAGTTAATATGTAATACGTGTAATATGGGCACCACCGACGTGTAAATCATTACCGTAACAAGTTATATGGGTCGTGTTTGGGTACGTTTGGTAGGAGGGCTTTGTGCTTTGTGTGTCGCAGGAAATTGCCTCATCAGACATGGGTGAAGTTGGATGAAAATGACGGTGTGTGTGTGTGACTAATACTGAACAACCCCAAAATATGTGTACGTCACATCAGTTCCTCAATTGACTTTTCCACTTAAATCTTATTTGCTGCGCAATATCAATCTAAAGAGTTGCATAACAAGAGCAGTGCAACAATAGCATGAGTATAAATCTCTCCCAACACGTGCAATGCAATGCAATGAATATGGCTGCGTGGAAAACAGCATGCGGTCACGTGCTCAGCTGGAATTCCCGAGTCACCGTCTCTAGGTTAGTGTTGTTTGTTAGCTTGACTGTGGCATTTTAACGTAGCATGCATGTTAGGGTGTTTTCTTTTTAAATCAATCAATGCAATTATTTACATATAAAATATCAATGCAAACAGTTGCGCAACAATAGCAGTGATTGACGTACATGAATATAAATCTCTCCTCACACATGCACAGAGCCTCAAGAAATGCGATGAATGCGGCAGCTTGTAAAACCACGTGCTCAATTCTGGTATTCCCGAGTCACTCCCTAGTCTACTCTCGCTTGTTATCTTGACTATAGGATTTCAACATGGCATGATAGCTTTTCTTGAATTAGCATGTCAAGAATATCAACCAATGCATTCATTTATAGCAGTACAATCAATACAAGCAGTTACATAACAGGAGCATTGCATTGCAGTGAAGTGGCTTGGTGTGCATGAGTATCAATCTCCTTACACATGCAGAGCCTCGAAAGAAATGCAACGAGCGCGATGGCTTATAATATATCGATACGTGTTGATTTGTGTTTGGATTAGCTTGTTAGAAATATCTACCAATGCGATTTTAAATGCATCAATGCAAACAGTTGGAGTGCATGAACATAAATCTCTCCCAACACGCGCAGAGCCTAAAATGAAATGCGATGAATGCGGTAACTTGTCAAACAAACACGTGGTCTCTGGAATAGCCGAGTCACTGTGCTCAGTTCACTCTTGTGTCATGCATGTTGAATTAGCATGGTTATAATATCATGCATTTGATCTGAGCCTTCATCGCATACAAGGGTTGCAAAAAAACACAAGGAGTGTGACTGGATACTGCATATTCCTCTCGACCCGAACGAGACCTCAAGGAGAGATCATCGACACCATTAGTGGTTTTAGCAGGGGCCGTTACTGGAAATGCACACTCCAATAACAAACCGCTCAT